CGCAGCAGCTCGCAGCACACACCGTTTATTTTCTTGGACTGTCTCCTGCACATTTGGCGTTCGCTAAGCTGGTGCTTACGTTCCTGCAGGCCCAAAGTAAATCACACGTTGGATAAAATTACATTTTTCGAGCATTTCTTTGGCTTTATAGTTTCTACTCCTGAGGGAATCTTTAACCTTTTAACCTGCTCTGCTGAGACGATCCAGCACCCGAAAAACACTTTGCCCCCAATCGCCCCACTCTGTCTGAAAGACTGATTTCGCACACTTGCCCATTTGTTCATATCGGCCCGTTTCTGCACTTTTCTTTCATCGTCAGAGGCACGAAGCTGTGGAGCCACCGACCAAGGAAGATGCTACATTTAGCTAACTATCTTTAAAACCATTAACAACACATAAATAAGCCCGAGCACGTCACAATCGGCCACAGTCAAAGACTGTTCACCCAAAAACACACACCAGCTGCGCTTCAACACAAGATGAGGAAGCTTTAGCAGCACAGGACACCTGCAGGAAGTGCTAAAGGTTTAGCGCCGCACTGATGACTGCTTGGGTGAGATGGCCAGCTCTATTGCAACCACAGGAAATAACTCAAAGGAGATGAAATAAAAACTCAATTTAAGAAAGAGTTTGCTCAAATTAAAAAAATGGTATTCCCAACAATCAGATGACCCCCTTTTAGGAACTATTGAGTTCTTCTTCTATTCGCCCCTTGGTGTTTGACTGACGTGTGAGCTAGTCGTGGATCTGACACACAAACTGTGCACGCTTACAGGAGTTAGCCCCGCCTTCAAGTTCATTTTCTCTTAACCTTCTGTCCAATCATCCAGTAGAGTCGCCCCCTGCTGGACAGTTCAGTTCAGTTCAGTTACATCTGCCATGTATGGCACCAAAGCAGAACAACAGTTGTTGAATATTGTACGGTAAAGATCGAGAGCGAGAGCTCTGTGGTGGTTCTGGTTTCATTTTTTAAATCTACTTTAAACATAAAATCTGTTCTTTTTAGAAAACAAAGGCTCTGGTTCAGGATTAGAAAAGGATCCAAGGTTAAGGTTTAAATGAAACAATGTTTTTCTAAACTGTGTTTTTGCCTGTGAGGATGACATCCTGCAGCTCCTCCAAAGGAGGATACCTGAGTTTGGCTTTGATGAAGAAAAGGAGCTAATAGATAAGACAGATCTTTAATGCCTTTGTTACAAGAACAATGAAAGACAGTTTGGCATCTCTGCATTAGCAGCATGTAGATTTTACATTATAATTACTTTAGAATAAAAGATACACAGATGTGTTGTATACGACGCACTCGTACCTGAACATGCTGCTTTTCCGTGACCGGGCTGCTGAAGAGGATCTGTGGTGTTGACCAAACTAAAAATTATGGATATGGAGGATTTGCAGAGATTAGGATCACAGATGGTGTCCACAGTTCTTACAAACTGCAAAGACTCCTCCAGGTGATACTCGGCTGATCGCTGTACCTGCTGAACAGATGTTACAGGCTGTAGAAGAACAAAATGGCCCAAACCTGACACTCCCTGCTGCTTTTCTCCTCACTACAGACGAGCGCTGCCACATCACAGGTGTTCTAACCTCATGATTATCCTTCTAATATTGTACTTAAAAGTTGGAACAAGAGCTCTGCAATTAAAAAGTAGCTATTCTGAACAAGTGAACCGTGAGTGCTCCTTCCTGAAGGCTGGTTTCATCCGTCTGCGCCGCCCACGGGAGGATTTTTGCACATTTATCAAAGATTCAAAGCAGGAAAGAAAACGAATTTCATAGAAAGGACAATAACATCATTACAATAACAGAAACAAATATTTGGAGTTCTCAGTTATTCAAACAAGAAACTTGTCAGTGCATCATCAAATCCTTCCTTCCTTCCTTCCTTCCTTCCTTCCTTCCTCCCTCGTTCAGTTCTTCTTGAAGGACACAGAGTTCTTCCCAAACCTCCTTCTTCTGGCTGCTCCCTGCGGGGATCTCCTCACCCCTTCCCTACCACCCCCCTCTGTCACACCAGCTCTTTGTGCTCGTCTCCTCCTGCCTGGCAGCTCCATCGTATCCACCCTCCCTCCTCTGCACATGTGCAAACCATCTCAGCCTCATGGACTCATTTCTGATCCTGCTCACTCTCAGTGAACATCTGACCATCTTCAGCTTCAAACCAGCTGAGAGTAATAATCCAGGGTCTCCTCCGGTTGGATATCTCTGAAGCACCTGACCTAGAAGAAGCCCAGCAGGTGTCCTGGTCACATGATGAACCAGCTCAGCTCGGTCCATGCGGAGGAGCAGCAGCTCGTATCATCAAACTCATTCACAGATATTTGAGGTCATTCGATGAAAGATGAAACAACTTTTTAAAATATTTTCTGCTGCTTTTCATGCCCCGGGTCACATTCATTTAATTACAGGATTTTAGTCGTAACAGCTGGAAATGTCGAATAATAACAGCTTATTTTGCCCGGCTGTTTTCCATCATGTTTCAGCCAGTTTGATGGTGTAATGGATTCTAAATTAAAGCCTCTGTAGCCTCACAAAGGCCCAATAAAACCAGCGATCTGATGCCATGAACCTCCCGATGGTGGCGAGGAGTCGAAACATCGACTGTTTGCCGGACTGTGAGCTCTGTGCTGAAGTGTTTGGAAAAGGAGAAGAAGAGCTCATCAAACACACAATGACCTGCTGGGGTTGAAATGAACGACTTACTTTCACAGTCAAAGATCACAAAGGCGTCCTAGCTCGCATCCATCACATTCTTATGACGATCGCGACCCGGCAACCTTACAATTACAAGACGAACTGACAACTCTGGAGCGTAAATCCAGGTTAAAAATAAACAGACTCATGATGTGCATCATCTAAACTCTGATGTCATTTCCTTTGAAGGAATCTGCCCTAAACTCAAACCTTTAATATCGATGTCTGGTCATTTCTTTATGGTATAGATACAGTTTACTTGTCAGCAGGTTCAATCGCCTCCCTCAGGAGGGTGGCGTGTCACCACAGTCCAGCTCTTTGTTCTCGCCCCTGCTCCGACGTCCACGCCGCTAGATGTGTCCGACAGACCGCTGTCCGTCCTCATCAACGCTGCCCAGCAATAACAGGGCAGGGATGCTGGGAATCTTCTGCACCCTCCCATGAGTTTCCCCAGAGCCCGAGGAGGGCACGACTGACGGCCTCATGGTCTGCCCGCCTGTGTCCTCCGGTGGCTCGTTCACAGAGCAGCTGTGCTGTGTTGGCTGTGAAGGTCCAGTACCTGCCGCTGAGCTCCATCTTTTCTTCATGGCCTTTGTGGACCACGTGTGCCATCACACGAGGCATGAGTGGGTGCTCCCTGGCCGCTGTGCTTCGTGTTGCAGTGTAAACCTGTAAAAAAGGATGGCATAGTCTTCTTTTGTGTCTTTGTTTGTTTTTCTTGCCTCAGCTTTTGGGTTCAGACTCTTTTATATCCTAGTCTTTTTCATTAGTTTCTGTACTTTTAGAGTTTGGAAGCTTTTTCTTTGCTGCGACTTGTA